GATCAAAAACACAAGAATACCTGACGATGGTAAGTAGTTTGTTTTACACATACAGCAGTGTGCAAAATTATAGCATCACCTCTTAAAACTGAGTTATTTGATCTTTCTCGACCACATGCACAAAGAAAGCCCGAGAAAATAAATGTTATCGAAACTCGTCATTTTTTGTCTGTGCATAATTATAGCTTCACTATCGTATTTTCCTTATGCTTCTACCAAAGCGATGTTAGTTTGACTCGAAGGTTACGTAGATAGATAGAGGAGCTGTTTTTGAACATTTTCTTCAAAAAAGTTTGAAAAATGATCTATATTAAGATTTATTATTAGACTTTATTGGGCAAACCAGAATGACTTCAAAACAGCAACCAAATTTCGTATTTTCGCTACAACATTTGAAACCTAAGACAGAAGTAATTTTTTGATAATGAATTCGAAAAGAAGACATTTTTCGCTCTAAAATGAAATGTTCGCGAGTTTCGTGCGTCATTTCGTAATCTTCGGGTCAAACTAACATCGCTCTGGTAGAAGTATAAGGAAAATACGATAGTGAAGCTATAATTATGCACAGACAAAAAATGACAAGTTTCGATAAACATTTATTTTCTCGGGCTTTCTTTGCGCATGTAGATAAAAGTGGTCGAGAAAGATCAAATAACTCAGTTTTAAGAGATGATGCTATAATTTTGCACACTACTGTACAGCATATTGAAACCTAATGTTAAGTCTAGCTGGTTCACAAAACACGTTCAACTTGCTACGAAATCAATTGGATTACAATGTTGTCGGTATGATTGAATAAAATACCTGTCAAATTTCTCATATGTCGCTGTGTCGTAGATCTATTGTCGTTGTCACCTTCGAATCAAACAGTGGAATCCGAATCAGTTGCCAATGCTCGACGCTTATACAAGTCATGCATAAATGAAGCAGGCATCGAAGCTGAGGGTGTTAATCCTATTCTTTCATTAATTAACTCAGAATTTGGTGGTTGGCCTATACTACAAGGGCCATCATGGGATAATGCCACGTTTGATCTATCGAATCTCTTACTCACACTACGAAAATACAATAATAATCCTGTATATCGGGTGGGCACATCAACAGATGAAAAAAATTCTACAGCGTACGATATTGAAGTAAGACTGAGGTCTGATCCAAAACGCTATTTGACATCAGATAAATTGACTCTTTTGATTCTATCGAACAGTTCTTTAACGCTCGAAAATGACTTCTCATTTGGCTTTTTTCGATCAGTTTGTCGTATCATTCACGCGATGTTATTCGAATCTCTTATTTAGGTGGGACAAGGTGGTCTTGGACTTGGACAGAAGAACTACTATATAAATGAGACATCGGTCAATGTTGCTTATCGCCAGTTTATGCGAGATTTGGCGACAGCTTTAGCCATCGATACAACGACTATCGATCAAGATGTTATTGATGTATATGAATTTGAAAAGACTATTGCTAAGGTACTTGCACCTTGTTTATATCAAACTAAGTAATATTGTTTTCCTCCTGTCTAGTACCATTGGACAATCGCTGAACAACGGGGGCGTGATAGTGAAACGGTTCGAACTACAGTCGGTAATCTATCGGTCATACTAAATACTACAGTGAGTTGTTCTCTTTCTCTCTGATCCTTCTCACCAGTACGTTTTTCGACTAGTTTGATTTTAACAGTTATCTTCGTCGTGCCTATCTATTAGGCAATGTCACTCTATTCGATACGGACATTGTTGCAGTAAGCGAACTGGAGTTTTTGCGCAATGCTTCGATAATCCTTGATCAAACACCTGCACGTACAATACAGAATTACATGATCTGGCGTTTTATGATGAATCGAGCGATCAATATGCCTCAGTACATACGAATTTTGAGAGAACGATTCGATCGAGTCTTTCGAGGTACAACTGCCGAACAACCACGCACAGTTTTATGTGGTAATTATGTGAATAGTAACATGGGTTTTGCGGTATCGAAACTTTACATAAAAGAATATTTTGACGAAAATGCCCGCAATCAAGTATGTAGTGATGTTTACTATCATGTTCTTTCTGTCAGAGTTAACTCTAGTCCTTCGAAATGATTAACGATATTCGAAGTTCATTCACTGAAATGCTCAATCAGTCCACTTGGATGGATGCAGAATCGCGGAACAAGGCTATTGAGAAGGTATTGTAACTATCGTAGAAGAAAAAATGTAATTTGAAACAGAATAAACGTCATTTAGGCACAAGCTATTGATCAGAAAGTTGGCTATCCTGACTATCTGGGAAGTAACAACAACACAAAATTAGAAGAAGATTATGCGGAGGTAAAGACTATACTGCTAAATACACTGAATGATGTTTTTCATCTCGATACGGGGAGAGATCGCCTAGATATTATGGTTTATTCCTGTTTTTCTTTCGTATGTAGTACAATTTCAATTCATCCTATATTAAAAATGTAATTAAATTACTTGAAATCAAAGCTCAAGAAGATTTTCGATCGCTTCACGAACCTGTCGATCGTAAAGCATGGGGTAACACAGCACCTAGTGTAGTCAATGCATTCTATGAACCATCGAGAAATCAAATCAGTACGTCTATCAAGTTCTTGTTTACAATATCTGTCAAACTAGATACAAATATGTTTCTACTCTACTTTAGTTTTTCCTGCTGGAATTTTGCAAAAACCTTTCTTTGACAAAGATGCACCCAAGTAAGCTTATTTTTCATCATTATCTCTTCACTTGCTCTCTTGAACATTTAGATACCTCAACTATGGTGGTAAGCGTTGACAATCATTCATATGATGAAGTCGAAGTTATCTGCGTATAATTTAGGAATTGGTGTAGCTATTGGACATGAGATAACACATGGTTTCGATGACAGTGGTCGGCAATTTGATAAAGATGGAAATCGACTTCCGTGGTGGACTGATGAAACAATCCAAAAGTTCATCGAACGCAAAACATGTATTGTCGAACAATACAGTAACTACACAGCGACACAGATCAATAAAAAGGTTATCATTTTATTCGTCGATTGTTTAGACAGATAGGTGAACACTTTTCTATAATTTTTAGTTAAATGGCAATCAAACGCAGGGCGAAGATATTGCTGATAATGGTGGTCTTCGCGAAGCTTATTTTGTGCGTATCATCCTTTGATTTTCTGCTTCATAGAATAAATCATGTTTCTCTAGAGATAAAAATGTATTTAGGCTTATGAAAAATGGGCTGGAAAGAACATCAATGTCGACAAAAGGCTACCAGGTCTGCAGAAGTATTCTCCTGAACAATGAGCAATTCAGGTAACACTCAGTTCAAGTCAGCAACTAAGTTAGGTCAATACTGTTTACGATGACGCGATGAATGAATAATTCTGAGATGTTCTTTATCAATTATGCACACACTTGGTGCACTAAAATGACCGATGCTTATGCACTTCTTCGAGTTTTAACTGATGTTCATTCACTTGGCCAATTCAGGTTTTTTCTCTGATTTCATCCCTGATGATCCGGTACACAGACTTCTGCTTATTTTTTCCAGAGTCGTTGGTCCAACATCAAACTTCAATCAATTCGATCGTGCATTTGGTTGCACACCTGGTCAAGGCAACAGTCGAAAGGACAAATGTATTGTATGGTAGTGGTGTGATTCATAATATCTCCTTGAACAATCAAAGAAATGAGTGTGTGCATATACTCTTTTTTGCTGCGTGTAATGCTCTGTGAAATTTGCAATGCAGTTTCTGAATGATTGGTCTTTTCCATTAAAATAATATAGTAACGAGCTTTTTAACCCTGAGAAAGCTCTAATTAATTAAAAGCAGCTCAATAATTGAGCAGCATACCTATTTAAATACTCTTATTGACGGTCAAGAATGTTGCTTTCCAAGCGAGCCAGAGCTCTGTGAGCTTCTATATCTGTGTACACATTCTTGTCAAAATATCGGATCGGCTTTTCTCCAGAACGCAATATTGCTAAATCGCGCCAGGTAAAGTGGCAAAATTAAGCTATGTTTCGTACCCGTCTACCGTATAAAAAACGAGGAAAGTTGAACACGTGAATATAAAATACAATGAATGCTCAATGGGTGAGGAGTAGAATAAAGGCTACATTTAATCACTATTTCACCATTTGATCGTGAGATTCGTAGCTATCTTTTTTCGATAAACAGTAGTTTGAAATTTGTTATTTTGTCTGTGCACTAACGCGTCTTAAAATGCAATTTTTAGATTCTGTTCAGAGTTCATAGTAAATTTTATAGATGGATATAGTTCATTCAATTCTTTTAGTATATTAGCAATATTTGCAGTATCGGGTACCAATGTGAAAGTATCAGAGACCAACAGTTTTCAACTAACAAAATTAGAAGTATGTTTTGTTTCTAAGTTAGACAAAAATCTCAGCAAGGTAAGATCGCATAGATACTCCGTCGATTTGTTCCTAGTATTTGTTGTTAAACAAACTGTGTACCACTCGTAGGATATTTTAATAAATGACAAAGTGCGTTTCTGGAATGTAAGGTCTTAATTCAGGATCCATATAATATAGTTTATCACAAATGACGTCTATTATTTCCTCTATTGGAATGTTCGTAAATAAGTTCTTAACATCGAAGCTCAGCATTTTATGTTTAGATTCGGTATTCCTGGTTTGGATGAGGGTGACTTGTGATTTGTGATATTGATAGTCTTGCTACTAAAAATAATAAAGGAGTATTCTGTGTATTACGCGATCATAGAAATTACGTCATACTAACTGCGCAATGTTATTATATTCTTATATAGTCTCCTGGGGTCGACTTGACCTGGGTTCTAGTTGTTTTGGTGCGATTACCGATTTATCTGGTCGTTTCTTCACTAGCAGTTATGTACGGTTAGACGCCATACAAGAAGCGACATAAATACGGTGAGACTCTAACGTAGTATCTTTGAACGTGTTTACCCATACGGTGTGAAGGTCTTGAGCTAAATTCTTTATAGCTGGTGTATAGATAAAATGAAAAATGGACGATAAGTAAATTGTAGCTCTTTGATCCGTTTCCTTGAAGCTAATGGCTTTTTGGTGAAAGTTATGGTAGCTATGTTTCTGTGATAGATCAAACTCAGGGTCATTAAACACTTTTTGAAATTGTTTAAGGTGCCGTAAATTCGAAAGGTACACACAAAAATAGATTTTCTTTCAATATGTATGGTTGGATAGCCCGTGAAACGTAGATCTCGAATATCACCTTTTTACTCACGTTTGATCAGTTTTGGGGGAGAAATCTTCAAAATACTGAATACCACCCGAAAAGTGAGATTTTTGACTCTTTCGAAGTAAACTTCAAATTTGACTCAGTTACATAGGTTCTCATTTTCTCAAACACACATATTCTGATTCAGCAGCTCAAAAGGAGTCTAGTCATGTAAGTTCGAGAGTATTGAGCCAGATGGCCTAAGTCCGTTCATGGCTATTTTGAGACATCTGTGCGTCAAACCTATGTAATCTTTTGCATTAAAAGCTTTCTCAACAATTATACATCATTCGAACCGCCAGTAAAAGGCGAACAAAAGTATGCATGCGTTCGAAAAACTTTCACTTCCTCGTGGAGAAAAGACCACTTTACTAGAACAATGGCCTAACATTCGATTTCGCGTTTTACCTGTCCATACAAATTTGATCTAAACTTAATTCTAACTTCTTTCCGTAGGTAATGTCTAATATTCAGCTTTGAATATTCTCTAAATATGGTCTGTCTTCCCTATTTCTGGGTAACATCTTCCCTCTAGTTCAGATCAAGAGAATTTACAAGCATCACAAAGAACGGAATTTGTTAAAAATATGACAATGATAATCGATTCATTTCATGTTAAAAATCATAATTTCCCTATGTGTAGAACATTTATGCGACCGACTCATCCGTCACATAACGGTATTTATGATAATATTAATTCACAGATAGCGGAACAGATGTTTTCGTATTTTTCAAAATTTCAAAATTAATTTCATGGCTATCATTATCCAAAATCCACTGTGTTCTTTTAATTACTATTTCATCTCAAGAATTGTCGTACAGTTGGACTTGATACATTCGAACAATCAGTATTTCTAACATAATCAATGTTTTGTGATGTACATAGTCATTTCTCTGTTGTTTGTATATCATTTTGCATAAAGCGACGTTCTTACGTAATAAAAATAAATTACTGTGAAAATGAGCTCGAATTTAAAAACCCAGAATCCAACACATCTCCAGTTAAGGATGTTGGGAGTGACTTTCGCTTTTCCAGCTGACTTGAGATGAACGCTGTAGAACTATTTCACTATTTCAGTTTATATTCATTTTCATTAATTACACCATGTTTTCTATAGCCAATTTAATTATTCCAAATAAATTTTTACAACATAAATGCCGTTTACTTGTTAAAGAATCATTATTTATTCGGGCTACTAATCTCATTCTAAATGGTACAGATGGATCAGTACCACTTTATGTCTACTCGAACGGTTTACTAAGCCGAAATGTCGAACGACTCTATGGAGACAAAAGATGGGTATCATCCAACGACTGAAGAGGAATTGCAATAACGTTCATCTAATGACTTTGAGTGCTTCTTTAATTTCTTTAATTTTCACTCGCTCGTAACCTTTTTTAAAAAAATGTATAACTCCTCCCCGTAATAGAAGCCCCTCCCCTATTAGAGGTCCTCCTTGGAGGGATCGATGTGAAAAATGTATTTCCCCTCATTTGAAAAAATTTTTGAAATTTTCGGAAAGTTTTATTAATATTTGTAAAGTAAAAACTGTCAAAATTTCAGGATTCTACGGTAAAAAGTTGTTTAAATTTTACATACCAGCATGAGAATCTCGAATTTCCTTGAAATCCATTCGAAAAGCTCCGGGAAACCCTAAAAGTTTTATTTGTTTTTAAGGCGCTCGGTCTATATCATGTTTTTAACTTTAAATTATGATCTACGCCTGAAGAGAGTAAGAAAAAATACACTTCATGTATTTTATCTAAAATCTTAAAATATTTTTCATCAAAATTTTGTGGTTTTCCACTAAAATGTGCCAGATTGCAACTAGATCTTAAAACAATTATCCCCATACCAAAGAACACTATGTCGAACTTTAAGAAGTCCAAAAGAACTGTATATATGGCCAATTTCTAATGTCAGTTTTATCAAAACAGTATAGGATTCTGACAGACAGCGTTTGAAACATTATAGTTGCTGAAATATCTGTGTGTCAAATGAGTTGATTCATTCCTATCCTTTTTATACTAAATGGAAGAAAATCAGATCAAAAGGATAGAAATTAAACGTGTTATGTTTGATGTCTAATTGAGTTGACTGTGTTTACGATATTTCGAAAGTTACAGCCGAGCTCAATAGTTCAAAAACTATTGTTCGTGCAGTCTCCGTGAAAAGATGTTTTTTCAGAAAGAAAGACAGTTTTGAAATCCGAACGTGGAGATCAGTTCGTCATCAGTCATCTTTTTATGGTTGAGTCTAATTTCTTTCACTTGATTGTATATTTTCTGCTGAACATCCTGCACCGTTTTCGAATCCTCTGATATTTTAATTTCTGAGATTTCATTTTCTACGGATTGATCAAATGAATCTAATGCAAAATAGGGATCCTTGCTTGCTTTCTGAGCATTTATTCGATCATTCGGATTGAATACCAATAGCTTCTGTAGTAAGCCCAACGCGTCTGGATCTTTTGATATATTTGATAATTTTTCCCACGATTCAGGTTGGACTGGACTGCTTCTGATTGTACACCTGCACTCTTCTGACAACCATTCGATATCTTCGTTAGTTGTTGGAGTACCGATCAGTTCAAATACTTCGGGATATAATTGATAGAAACGTGCACCAGTAAACAACGAAGTACCTTCAAACATTTCTCCGAATATGCACCCAATTGACCACAAGTCAACAGCTCGGTTGTAATGCGAACATCTGAGAAGAAGTTCGGGAGCACGATAGATTTCTGTTCCAACTAGAAAAAACATCACTCAGGATATGGAAGAATGATTACAAAGGTTTTCTCTCCAATTTACCTCCGTAGTTGCTCATATTTCGCTTGTTCAGCGAATTTTTGAGGGCTAAAAATAGAAAACGAACGAACTAGAATAATTTCGTGGGAATGTTCAAACATCCTGTTGCCGCACAGGTCCCATGGAGAGAAAACTTATTCACCTTCAAAACAAGCGTCAGCATATAGTTACTTTCTCAGACTCATGTTAGCGTTTAAGCCACCAAGTAGATTTCAAAGGTCTTCATGTCTGTTACCGAAATTGTACTGACAACATTTTTTAAAGATATGGGGTTCTTTGTCTAAATTAAAACATACTTATAGATGATATATTATCCTGGTAGTTCAATGTTGTAGCACAGCCAAAATCTCCAATACACAAGTTATCTTGGCTAATTAATATATTTGCTGGTTTCAAGTCTCGGTGCACTAGAAAACAATATCAAAAAGTCATTTGTTTACTACTAAGTTTAAATTCGCTTTTTAAAAGGAAGCTCATGGAAAAGGAACTTAACGGGTAGCTAGGAACTTTTCTATACACTCTCAAAAAACAAGTGTCCTATCAGCTAAAACCCAAGGGGGAAACAGCTGATTTTTGGATTTTTCCGATTTTCACCGATTTTGCTGATTTTCGTCGATTTTCACCAAATTGAAAGTCATCGGAAATGACTGGAAGTCATTGAAAATCACAGAGAATTACAGACGATCACTGAAAATCATTGAAAATCAATTAATTTTGCGTGATTCTGACTGATTTCAGTCTGCGGTTTCGCAAAAATCTGTCTCATCGAAACGAGTGCCTCACCACGAATTATTTTAAGCTCTCCGTTGATCGCCCCGGCGGGTAATTGTTTTTTCACAGTGTATAAATGCGCCATTTTGGTTCACCGTGCAAATTTATAAGAAATTCAAATTTTTAGCACTAGTGATGGTTCACTCAAGTGATGTACAACTTTTACAAAAAGCCAACGGCAACAACATTTAGCTGCTGTTGTCTTTTCTTCGCAGTACAATCATTCCTTGTTTATTATTCCTGAGTCGAAACTTGATTGAAATTTGAACTTACCGACATTAGCTGAATGGATGTATTGGATTGCCTTAATTATTTTATAGGTATAGCGTTGTATATCTCGTTTAGTTAATCTCCGTGATTTAATCAATTTGTCTAAATCTGTCGCCATCAAGTTCATTGTTAAATACACTTCTTTCATTCTATTATTATTCGGTTCCACACGCACGTCGTATAATTGTACAACACCTTCATGTTTACCCTTCAGCGCGTTCAATATAAATATTTCGCCACTAAGTCGTTTCCATTGTAAAAATTTATACTCCTCGGATATATTCTGGTCTTTGTCTATTTCAACTTTTTTGATGGCAACACTTGTGTTCGTCTTCCGATGGTAGGCTTCAGCAACGTGTCCAAAAGCGCCGTGTCCAAGGCACTTCAAAATGGCATAGTCGTCACTAATGTTAAATAAATCGTCATCCACTTTCTGGCAAATTATTGTTTCGTCTTCATCGAGTACTGTGTTATTACCTGCAGTTACAGATCCTCTAGCAAAGAATGCTATTTACAGTCAAAGCGAGTTATTTACCCTGTTGTTCGGGAACTACTATGGGAACAACAGTTTTGGCCAGCACCACCTCGTCAATTGTACCCAGAAGCATCCCTCGCAACGATCGATCATCTTCTTCCATCGATAAGGGGACCAAATCTTAGAACAAGAATAAGTCAGCTACATATCCAACTATCTGAACAGATCAAGCGCACTCACCTGGTTCGCTAGCCAAAGATTCATGGACTTCCGGTTCGTTCTTTGATAACTTTCTCCGTTTTGATAAAATTCTATTGTCTAACCGCAAAAGAAACGGTATTGGTTCCTCATTTCTATATTTCGTTAGTCTAATTACAGACCTGTGCCAGAAAACGTCAGCTCATTGACGTTCGGTGAACTAATCTTCCTCATCTAAAACTCAGAATAATCACCTGCGCTACACATACGTTTTATCAGCGATACAGCCGAAGTATTGACATGCGAAAACTAAAGTGAGGGCTCTTTTCGAAGTCAGAAGTCCGAGAACACTAGAGCTAAGAAAATGCACAGCAGAATCAAACATTAGCCAGTCGTATGACAGCATGCTCATTTAATCCCCATACAAAAGTAGGATTAAAATAACACTTTTTTGCAAAATTGTAAAAATGAAGGTTTTTAGATAGATGTAATCAAGCACTATCATAGACGTGTCGTTTTCTAACACTCCCAACCACGAACAGAAGACCGTTTGTTTTGCCAATGCTTCAAAAAATAACATTGAAGGGTATACTCTCCTCGTCTTCTAATAAGCAGTTTATAATATCTGGCTAGATATGATCAAAATAATCATAAGTACAATTCGCAAAATATAAATAACCACGGATTCACAAAAGAAGTCTTCAAACATTTTCATAAATGAAGAAAACGTGAGTATATATAAAGCAGAAGAGAAAAAATTGAGTCGAAAACATCCAACTGAAGTAGAAAAGAAACATTCTTGCGCAATTCTTCTGCGTATGAATTCAAAGAACGAGAACAGAAAAAGACCTTTGTGAATAGAACAGGAAACACGTACGCTGTTAAACAGAATAGAAGGAGAAGCCAAGAAATCGCTTATTATTCTTCCTGTTCTTTTATGAGGTAGAGACAGAAGACCCCGTTTGGCAGACTTCTGCTGTCTGCATCGTCCATTCACTTAGTTACTATGCTATTATATTACAAGTTTACGATGCTTTTGTCCTAGAGATGTGATTTAGAGATCAAATTGGGCTAAGTTTTCTTGATTCCAACGGGATCCTAACTGACTGCGCCGAACGAGAGCTAAAATTTGAAAAATTTTCAAAACATCTTTCTTCTCCTGAATTGTTTCAACAGTTCTTTTTCAACGAAAAATGCCACTGATGAAAAGCACATCCTAGCCTTTTGGAGAAAATTCTTTTGCTCTATTTCTTAACACTGATATATCGAAAAAACTTTGACTTTCAATCTAGGCTTTTACGACCGAAAAACTTTTAAATAACAAACAGCTTATTCATCTTTTTTCTAGAAAATAGATCTTAAAAGATTATTTCAATATATTAGCCAAGTACTCGCAACTCATCGGAGTTATTATTTTCTAGAAGGGCAGTGAGTGTTGTGCAGACAAATATTACTACTATTTTAAGTAAAAAATGGTATTCACACACATGCTAATATTAAAAGCTTTAGTTCGTAAGTGATGTACCTTAAAATTTTCAATATATGATTGTTGATAATACCTACGGTAATCTATTCTTGTTTAACTGTACGCAGGAGCTAAATAAATGAAGAGAACGCGAGTATTGATAAAGCAGAAAAGAAAAAAATTGAGTCGGAAATGTCCAACTGCAGTAGAAAAGAAACATTCTGGAGCAATTATTCTTCATACGAATACAGAGAATATCCTCTCTACATAATAAAGAAGAATTGCGCAAGAATGTTTCTTATCTACTTCAGTTGGATGTTTCCGACTCAATTTTTTCTCTTCTGCTTTATATATATACTCGCGTTTTCTTCATTTATGAAAACGTCTGAAGGCTTCTTTTGTGAATCCAACGTTATTTATATTTTTGTGAATTGTACTTATGATTATTTTGACCATCTCTAGCCAGATCTTATAAACTTCTTATTAGAAGAATTTTAATAAAAATTTTATAGAGTAATCGGATCGGGCTGGACCGAACATATTTTTTAAGAGTTTTTAAGCATGCGTGTATTTGTAATTTATGTGAATACTCAATAGCGAGAAATCATAAAAAAATAAATATTAGCTTGAGAAATATATTTACATCGCTTAGCCAGCAAAAGCATTATCGATGTAAGAAGAAAATCACGCAAAGTAGTCGGACCGGGCCGAGCTAGATAAATTTTACATTTGGTTGGGCTGAGCCGAACTTGGTCCGGAAAGCTTCATCATCGGACCGAGCCAAAAATTTTCGATCAGAATCTCGTTCAGAAAATAATGCATAATCCAAAACTAGACATTCAATCGGAGCTCTGCAGGTTAAACCTAACCTAACCTAACTTAATATAATCTATAGGTTAGGCTAGAATTAGGTTACAAAAGTGATAGGTTAGGTTAGGTTGTAGGCTGTATTTTAATTTTTTTCGATTTTTTAGGACGAGGTTGCCAACGTCATAGGTTAGGTTAGGATTAGTTGTGAAATTTTGTATAGGTTAGGTTATAGGTTACCAGAACCCAGGTCCAAAAAAAAGGCCCGTTAATGTCCTCAAAGCGGCAAAAAAATGGCCAGTAACAAGCTGTTAACTTGCTGTTTTCAGCGTGGCCGTTTCACGGTCCAAAAATCGTCTGAAAACGTCCACGGTCAGAAATGATTGGAACCGAGAACGATCTTTGCACTATCACTTCGTATAAGTGTCGCTAGTACCCAGTCACAATCGGTCAGTTCAGGAATTACCAAGCGCAAACGCCGTCAAACAATCATATTAGGCGTTCTGCTTTTTGATGTCCATCTGTAAGGGAGATGCTTCAGCATAATTCAGCATTGCAGAGAACTGTCAGTTGAAACTTGTGGCGGAAAACTATGGAAAAGTTAGGAACTTTCAGCTTGCTAAATAAACTCTGGTGCTATAGAAACTATTCGACGTATCAATACTATATGTACTACAGGCGTCCTTCGCTCAAAGCGAGATGTCTGTAGTCGTATGTAGAGCGTTCGAGTTTCGTCTTTTCTAGGGTTGTTTTCTGGTAGTAGTCGAGATACCAAATCTTTATACATAACCACTATTCCGTAGAGGTCTGCGGGACCAAACGTTTTTGGTCCGGGTCCCATGAAGAAAAAAAGTCTTAGTCCTGGTCCCGGTCCCGTGGAAAGAACTCATTTTTGGTCCTGGTTCTGTGGTCCCGTAAATATTTTTTCGAACTAGCGCACGTAGTCTGAAGGTCAGCGCGCTGTAAATTACAAAGATTTATGTAATACTACTGCAGACACAGTTCAGAAACATTAACAAAAAAACAAAAATATAACAAGCAGGATGATGATAATAACAAGCAAAAAGATAATGATAGTGATAACGACGAAATGGCAACAACTGCAACACTTGATGATGACTTTTTTTGATAGATAAAATGAATGGTATTCAACTATGAACTTTCAACAGTAGACATTTTTCCTTTTCTATTGTGTAAGCTAGAAGAAACTTATAGCTTTAGCTGTGTTTACAAAAATTTGAACTTTGCACAAACTGTGTCAGCGCGACACTAATTCAAGCTAATCTGGAAAATAGCACTATGGGATGAGATTATTAACTGAGGACTTTTCGAATTATGTGTAAATTCTTTCTCGCAGATTTACTGCCTACATACAAACAGGCACAGAAACTAAAAAATTTTTATACTTCATACAAAACTATTTTCAAAAAAACCTGGTCCCGGTCCTGTTAAAAGTTCCACGGGACTGGGGCAATCCCGCAGGACTGGGGCAATCCCGCAGGACTGGGACCGTCGCGCAGACCTCTAGGTCCCGGTCCCGGTTCCGTAAAAAGTCCCACGGGACCGGGACTGGGACTGTCCCGCAGACCTCTACTATTCCGACCTATCATAGATGACCCTGTTTTAAAACGGTACATTTATCATATATATATCTCGTCAGTGTGTGATAGACCTATCACTTATAAAGTGATTTAAGGAAATTTTTCCGTGTTTAAACATTTACAAAACAAATTCTGTTGCACTAACAATGTCAATTTCTCAATTTGTCAACACAACTTTGAATCAAAAAGGGAACGCTTTAGAGAAGTAAAGAAAAGCCAGCTTCTTCTCTTGAGCTTTTCATAGATACGTTAAACGGGGTCTGCCGGTTGTTAAGCGGTGGCAGGTGCGTTGTTCTAATCAAATCTCCTAATGTAATATAATGTCGCAAAACACTTTGACTTTTTGAATGTCGAAAATGTTTCGCAATTTAACACTGGATACAGAATTTAACGTATATATATTTCAATATTTTAAAATATATTCAAGTGTATTTCACCGCTTTAGAGAAATTTAAATGTTCATATGCACTACTTTTAAAAGGAAATATTTCTATATAAAACATCTTTGGCTGTGCATTTCGAATAATTCTTAGGAAAAATATCCAACGGACACGGAGAACAGTAATGCAGTAGCAGCAGCACTATCGCATTCAAAAACTACATACCAAAAGCATCCGTGATTATATTTTTTGCATGGTTATGATGTACATTAACCACAGAAGCTACTCATTCTCAATAAATTTCTAAAACTATAAAATAGTTAATCTCGAAACTTTGGGCGAATAATTCAATTCAAAGATACTGCCAGATATTTTGCTGCAATTTTTTAAGCCAAAAGATATCTAGGGTAGATTATGAATTTTTGAGAAAAGACCCCGAACTTTCAACAAAAAAAGAGCGAGCCTAGCACGTAAAATAGCTGTTTTTAACTGATTACTAACAGGCAACTCACAAAATCCATATCGTAGATAGAGTGTAGAGTAGCGGCTACATTTTAGTAAAAAGAACAAGTTTTCATCTCTCTTAGATCACGAATTATTGATAGTTTACGGAAAAGAAATCAATCGCCTATATCTCACGAACCATCCAGTAAAAGAGGCCTAATCTTGATGAGTGATCAGCATTTAGTAAGAGCTATGGCTACACAAAATCAGAAGTCCCAACTTGTCATGGTTCTCGAGTTATAGGGGTGTCGCTATCTGTACGGAGTACTGTGAATGTGTCTATTCTTTACTTTTATGCAATCAATCGTCTATACTATCGTTTTTGTTTATGTATAGGTTTTGGTTGAAAATAATTATCACAAATAACAACAATGTCATCTCACAATTTGGATACAATTCAATATTTTATTAGCATTTATTAATTTATTCAGAATTTATTTCAAAAACAGTTTTATATGCGTTTGTACCTTAAGAATAGTTAAAAAAATGAAGGATAGTTATCGCCACCATTGAGGGTGTCATTAGCTCTAATCGACACCCTTAGGGTTTGACAATGGCCAGCGGCGGATTCAGAATTCTACCGAGGAGGTGACGATTTCTAAATGATGTCGTCCGAGGTGGTATGAATATTTTTTCTAAGGAAGTCTGGTAGTGTACTCGCGCACTTATGTTTCTCCGTACCATTTTTATACGAAAAATCTAGAAATTCATGAACAAACAATCTTTGTTAGAATAAAACATTGAGTAATAAAACCTAAAGAACCAGACGACGATTAGATTTAAAAAATTCATAGATAACAGAATCAAGTTCTATATGTATATCCCGATAGATATATATCATAGCTAATCTATTAAGCCTTGTTTCAGACATTGTTGAACGTAAATAATTTTTCAATAATTTTAAGACAGAGAATGTTCTTTCTGTAGTTGCTGTTGTTACTGGTAAAGTTGCAAGTATTTTCAGTGGAATTTTTACATTTGGATAAAATGCTTCATTGCATTTGATATAAGCATCAATTGCTGTGTCTGGTAAAACTGTTCTTTCTTTGCGTTTCATTGTGACTGTTGCATTGCTGTTGTTGATTGAAGAAGATGGTAATGGAATGAAGCTGCTTTCTTTGATAATTTGTGTCCATCTCTATTTCCATAGCAGGAATTCAGATTTAATTTGAGAAATTGAACCAGGCAAGAAATTTTGATAAATTTCAATCGCTGGAGCCAAAGCATCATAAATTTTATCAGCAATATATGAGGAATAATAGATGAAATAGCTGCTGCTTTTTTAACATATTCATTAAATCTATCTTTAATAGATACTAAAAAATGATCAAGTAATGGAATAAAGATGTTTAATTTTAAAATAGTCATTTGCAGATGAAGCAGGAATATCGGCTCTATTTATCTAAAAAAAGGAAAAGTTATGAATAAATGAGAACGAATACTTAAAACTAATCTCGATTTTCTCATTTGGTAATTCTTGGCATTTTTATTGTAGTTTCTGTAGATTTTGCCAGGTCTTGTGCTTCTTCAAATAAATATTTAGTGCTAGATCCGCCATTGTCAATGGCTTGTGAATGATAATTAGCACCGGACGCGGCAATAGCTTCCCAACGACATAACTGTGCGTGTGCGGAGCCATTCCGAAAAACTAAATACATTTTACGTCTTCTTTTATTTTTCCTCTATTCTGCATCAGAGCTCAAGCGTTTCGAGTACGCTCAACTAGTCGAGGCGTTTCACCAGCAGTTAAGTCTAAGCCAATGAGCCAAAAATCTTTACGGAACAGCTTGGCTGTTTGCCGTAACCGGTTGAAACTCTTATGTGTGTCGTTTGCTGAAAAAAAGGTAATGTATCACTTTTGTAAAGCGCCAATGTTTCTTCGTTCACAAAATCGAGCATGAGACACCGATTTTGATTTTGAGTAAACACATTTATTGGCTATGTGAAAAACTGTTTAGATATTTCCAACCGATGCGCTCTGACTCATTTTTTTAAAGGCATATATTCGCCTTTATATGTTGCTTTGAATAATCTATGTTTTCGAACTCTGTTTCATTCTTTTTCGTAGAAAAAAACATCACATATCTATAACTATCAAGAAGCACAATATTTCGTTACGTTTATATCATGCTTTCTTTTTTTCTGCGAAGTGGTATATAAGACAACAAATAATAACTCTCTTTCTCTTCACAACATCTTTGTTGTATATACAAACACCTGAGCAACTGTTTCTAAAACTTTAAACTGAAAATAGAACAAAAGAAAGTCAAGGTGTAGTATCAATGTACTATGATATAACAGAACTGAACAATTTCTCCCCCTTTCACTACTGCTTGATGCAACTCATGAATCATCTTTTAACCTATATATGTGGTTATTTCCAATATATTCATCAGACATTCCAAAGCAATTAGTCAATAGGCGTTGCTGTTATCATGTCTTTTCTCTCTTTCTTTTTATGTTGCAACCCACCTGTATGATAGGCGAATATATATATATAAGGGATTATGGTAAAGAGAAATCATACTACGTTTCTGTCGATTCATTGTGAAATAGTAAATTATTACTACTGTTGAATGAATAAAGACTCATCGAAAACAAACAAAAACATGAATTTTGCACAGGGATTCGATACGTATGTGGCAAGTAATGGAGGTGGTTCAGGTAGTGGAAGTGGTCCGAAAGAGCAAAAATCAAACGGATGAAAAATTGTAAAAAATGTAAATATGTTGGTACATATTAATTAATATAGTATTATATTCATTCAATCTAAACTTGCTATAAAAATAAAAGTGATCAATAATTCCAAGGACATCAAGAAAAAATATATTAGAAAATTGGACCTAAAATCAACACATTGTTTAGTTGGTCAAACAGAATTTAATGTTGGTGAAACGAAAACTTAGAATTCAGTTCTATCCTGCTCCTGAATTGATAGTCAAACGATAAAGAAGGACTTTAATGTCTTAAAAACTATACATAACTGTTTAATAGATTTTTTTTTTTCTATGTATTTGCACTAATCTTTTGTGGTTTTGATAAGTTATAAATAAATGACTTTGTAAAAAAATACATAGGGAATTTAGTCTAAAAAACCTGTCATCATTCTTTAATATGCTATAATAAAATATGTGGAAAGTTTAGTAAATCTATGAAGATGTAAAGTGTGAATTCTGTGTTCATCTATTAGAATTTATTACAGACCTTGGCGGAGATGTCCGTACCCATTGGAAAAGTCGTGTGTTTCGTCTGATAAAAAATACGTATTGTTGCACGCGAGGTCATAAAGAAAAACTTTCTGAGAAATTTTAGAGGAAATTCGCAAGGTAATTTCGTTTTTTGCGACATGTCTTCAGTTTTCCTAGCGAGCCCTTCATATTTCTAAAATAACTTTTTTCGGAACAAGAAATTAGCCATACAGTCACGAAACGTGACTATATCAGTTAAATTTCATCCAAATTTTAAATGAAACTCTTTTCATTTTTCGAAGATTTTCGCTCTAAATTATGAAAATTCAATGTATAATTTTGAAAAAGTCGATTTTTTAACGTGTAACTGAAGACTTGCGATTTTATATGTCTCAGAAGTAAGATATTCAGTTATTTGAAGTAGTACCGGAATAAAAGTGCGATTGTACGGCTAATTTCTTGATTCGAAAAGAGTTATTTTAAAAATATGACAGGTTCGCTAACAAAGCTGTGGACATCTCGCGAAAAATGAAACAATCTTGCGCGTTTCTTCTAAAAGTCAGAAGCTTTCTCTTCGTGATTAGGAGTGCACCGGTTTTTTTCTCGTATTTTTCAAAAATTCATAATAAATGGTTTGTATTTTCGTAAAAACGAGTTGCAACATTTTTTTAAAACGACAGTTTTGTAGACAAAACGTTTCTCTACAAGACAGTATACAAAAGGTATTTTAGAAGCTTTCTGTTTCCTTTTAGAAAGCATTTTCCTCAAACCTACGGTCGGTTATAACCGACAGTTTTAACCGACCGTGGATTTGAGGAAAATGCTTTCTAAAAGGAAACAGAAAGCTTCTAAAATACC